TACCAATTACATCAACTTTAAAACCAAACCCACCACTGTCGAGTTGATTTGGACTCACAGTGACCCCTATTGGGTTTCTGAGGCGGTAAATCTTTACGGAAGTAGATTGCCCAGTCTTGCTTCCATGGAGTGGCTGGTGGGTTTGAACCAGCAACCTTCTTTCTGGTCAGCAGTCAGATGCCTTAGACACTATGCTACCAGAGTTCCTTATAGCAAAATATAAGGCCCCTAATTTTCATCTCTGTACATTTTACTGGGAGCTCTGGTGGCGTTAGGTACTAGTAACGTCCTACTAGTGGAGCACCAGAAGAAGGCGAGCTAGAAGACGAAAGGGCTGCTCGACTAGCCAGACAGATGACACACTGGACAAGCTTTGGTCCTAGGGCCCCAGGGCAGAGAACCCTTGTCACCTTTTCTTCCCACGTTCCTCCACCTGTATTCAAGCTGCCATGTTTCCTGAGTGAGTTCTAGACAGCCACATAACTTCAGAGATACAACAGAGAGTCTAAAATCTTTCAATGGGTTACATGCAGATGACTCCTTCCAGAAGATAACAGAGAAGGGGCTGTAACAAATAATTTTTTGAATCATGGAATAAATGATATTCTTTACTTTGAAAATCAAAGGTCAATGCCACTGAGTTGTATGTGTGATGGTGAAATAACAAATGTTTGTTATATATGTATTTACCCCCCTACATATACAAATCAAAGTTCAAGTTAGAATTCCTCACCTAAAATGAACTATGTTGATGTTTCCTGTTAATTCTCCATCTACAATAACCCCAAAAGCAAAACCCACAGTGACAGGGAGTATAACAAGACTGCACACAAATGGAATGACTGTGACTTCCACACATGTAAGAGAGGACAACCAAGTAAAAGCTGACAATGAATGAATTTTAAAAGGCAAGTTGCCAGCTGCAATTTACAATCTTCTGTCAATCATGGTCACTCCATATACTGCAGTAAGTTGGTTCAGACATTGGATGGGTTGAAGAGCAAAGATATGGTAGAATAGTAGTGGTGTTGACTTGGAACAGAAACAATGAGGTAGACGGTGGGGATGGGGTAGTAGGGTGTCCTTCACAAACAAAACCAAGTCCACTGTCCTAGCTCCTGGTAGGGCTGACTAAAGCCATTTCAGGTTGTCAGGATCGAAACAACTCTCAGTAGCTTCTCTTGACTTCTTTAAGGTTCCTGAAACTGAATTGTGTGTGTGCACACATGCTTTTAAAACCAGACATTTAAAGGCATTTGCATTTGTTCTGTCTGTACTGAACAAAGAAAAGAGCAGACATCACCTTCACCCTAGGATTCTACAAAGATTCAACAATTGTCAATAATCCTTTCTCTGGAGAACAGCCTTTGCTAGAGAGAGAAAACAGTCTTTGCCATCAGTCTCCTCATTGTAAGAGGCCCCATCTTTCCTGATTCTGCCATTGTTAGAAAAAGTTTTCCACAGCCCAACTAAGTATCATTCTCTTGACTCTAGCTGTACCAATGACAGGTATGGAGGCCACACCTGGCTGTTACACCACTAAAAGTACTTCCCTGCAGACTTGCTCAGAGACAACATTCTCAATCTGAAGCACAAGTATATTTGGACAATATATATCAACCTCACTTTTCCTGCTGCTATTTCTGACCAAATTTCACAGACATCTGGATTCTTAACCACCTTCAAAAGGGCTTAAGGAAAGCGATTTTAAATTAATGAAAGGATAACATCCTGTATCAGTTAGTGCTCACCAAGTGTCCCATGGCTGACTGCTGGGATGTTTAACTATATTGGACTATCAAGCAGACATGCACCAAGCTCACAATTTGAAACTGATGGAAAGTAGAAAAGTCAGCCTCTGCATAGTTAGGCAAAGTCAGAGTCCATGCTCTTAGAAACTCCCTGGGCCTCAGTTATTGCTTATTGTCTTTTTATTTTACTCATGTCCCTAAGTATCCCAGTGATCCAGTTTTCTGGCATGGTAGCTCTGAAGCAGCAAACTGGGAGCTGCTGAGACCCAGGCAGGTTAATATGCATGACCCCCACATGACAGCTGGCGGGAACTGGAAAAGCAGACCCAACAAGCCCAGGGGCCTGCAGATCTTCAGTGTAAATGATCTCTTGCACCTAGTACGCTCCGTGGGCATAAAATGTATTATAACCATAATAATGAATATTCATAGTTCTGAACTTAAGTCATCAATAAGAGTTTAATTGTGTTTACAATATTTTGTTACACTAAAATGTGAAGTGCCTGGCATTACGGTGATGAACTTCATGCAGCTAATCCGGGTGGTCTCCATCTCCTCTTCCCCACATCTGCTGTCACTAGTGGGTATGACGCGTGCTGCAGGGTGGTGACCTTCGCCACTGGGTGACCAACCTGCTGTAAGACTTCATCTGGGCCAGAGCCTGGTCCTCAAGCTGATCGCTGTTGGATGCAGCACTCAAGGGACGATGGTTTTCATCACTAGCAGCAAAGAACGAGGCTCTCTGGACTGCAAAGAAAAGAAACCATTCAATATTTTAGAACAACACCCCTAGGTCCTGAATGTAAAAAATCAATGAATGGCCTACACGGACAGTCAAATCCAAATCACTGTACAGAGATGCACAGAAACCTTATCTCCTACCCTCCATAGGAAAACACACTATTATTTTAGCCATAAGGGGGCGGTAGTATTGTAGCTTCCCTTTTAGAAGTAGTGATCATGAATCAATTTCTAGTCCTCCTTTCCTCTGGTTCATCAAAGTTACAATTTATAATATGTTTCCCTGGAAGCAGGCCTCATGCCAAATTTTTAGACTAAGCTTTCCACTTACTGATAATATAAAATGATTAAAGAGTTAGTATTAGCTTCTTGATACCTCTGAAGTATGTTTTACTAAGATGCCTGGCCACCATGGTGGGCTTTAACCTAAGTCCACACCACCTGTGTTTCAAAATGTACCAGTTTAAAATGTGAATCAAGAAAACCAAGTCAAATTTTAAAAATCTTCCATCCCATCAAGCTCAACTGGCATAATATACTATACAAAACATTGTTCCACCTACTACTTTGGCGAGTAGCGACTGGGACCTTAAAAGCTAGGAAGCTGCCATCTAGATGCACCAACGGGTCTCTCCTCGTCAAGAAGAAAGAAGAAAACCAAAATTAATGGAAACAATCAGTCCTAGTGACTGGTACACCATCCGATCTGCAACCTATACAACTATGAGACCAGAAGAACTAGATGGTGCCCAGCTACCACTGCCATCCACTTGGAAGGGATGTAGGAGATCCTGCATAAAGAGGGAGAACAATGTGGTACAAAACTCAAAATCATTTGGAGGCAAAAAAAAAAGAAGGTGGGGACCAGGTTTGCTGGTCCAATAGAGCCTGGTGTAACCACTGAGACTATGGCCCCTAGCTGCCCTTCAGGTCTGGAATTGAACCCACAACTGTGGTTTCCAGCCAAACAAAGTACAGGCATGTGAGTTAAACATTTACCTCAAGTAGACACACGCCCTGGAGAGAACAATCATGGGAGAAGGAAGGGCTGCTTATGCAAAGGGAAATAGCTCAGGGTGCAGAAGAGTATGAAGGGATGGACACTGGGAGGAGGTAACTATGGGGAGGAAGTGGGAGGGAGCTGCTGCATTGTAAATTTTGGTCAATGTCATGAGACAAAGTATATGTGAACTGCTGTATGAAAAGTGAATTTACTCTGTAAATCTTCACCCAAATCCAAAAAAAAAAAAAAAAAAAAAATCTTCCATCCAAAAAGCAAAACTTACAACCATTCTTTATAAAGGAGAGTGACCAACAGATTGAAATTTACAAACAAGTTAGGACTGGGGAATTGACACCAGCTAAATAAACATCAAGGAGGCAAGGGGGTTTGCCCATTGTTATGGGATGAATTATATCCCCCGAAAATATGTGTTGTAAATTCTAACCTCTATGCTGTGGTTATAATCTCATTTGGTAATGAGTTGTTTTGTTATGTTAATGAGGCAAGAGTAGTATAGCATGTCCTGAGTCAATATCCTGTGAGATATAGAAGAGATTAAATAAGCCAGCAGAGGAGATGGAAGGTCAGACAGACACCAAGACACATGTAGATCTCCAAGGACCTATCTCTAGACCCAGAGAGAGAAAGCCTTTCTCTAGACCCAGCACCCTGAGTTCTAGCTTCCTAAGCCAAAAATAATTTTGTTTGTTAAAACCACCCATTTGCAGTATTTGTTATAGCAGCAGGCAGAATTTGGCAGTGGAAGAATAGGGTGCTGCTCCAACAGATGCCTAACATGTAGAAGCAGTCTGGGAAATGGGTAATGGGTAGAGGCTGGGAAAGTTTTAGGTGCCTAATAAATAAAAGCTTAGATTGCTTTTAAGTGACTGTTGGTAGAATTATGGACGTCAAAGGCAATTCTGGTGAGGGATCAGAAGCTAGGGGAGCAAAAGAGAAGTCTCTATCGTCTTAGATACATATGGTGCCAGCAATAGAATGTTGCTAGAAATGTGGACATTAAATGTGCTTCTGATGAGGTTTAGGAGCTCTGGTGGTGAAGTGGATAAGGCATCTGTCTGCTAATCAGAAGGCCAGCGGTTCAAACCCACCAGCTGCTCCATGGAAGGAAGATGGGGCGATCTACTTCCTTGGAAGCCCAGTGGGGGTCGCTGTGAGTTGGCATTGACTCGATGGCAGTGAGTTTGGTGTTTTTTTTTTTTTTGGTGAGGTTTTAAAAACATGATGAACATGTGATTGGACAATGAAGGAAAGGCAATGCTTTTTATGTAGTGGTCAAGAACCTGTCTGAAGTATGTTCAAATGGTTGGTATATGGTAGAATTTATAAGTGATAAACTTGAATATCTGGCTGAGGAGATTTCTAAGCAAGATTTTAAAGGGGCCGCATGGTTTCTCCTTGCTGATATACTAAAATGTAAGCAGAAAGGGATGGATTTAAAAATGAACTATACAGAATGAAATCAGAACTTAAAAGATTTGGAAAATTCTGTTGTATAAGCTAAGGAATGTTCACCAAGGATGTGGCCACACAATCCTTTATTAAAGACACAGTGCCTGTGACTGATGGATCTAGCCAACTATCACAACAGAAAACTCATCTATTTACAATGAAGGGGACGAAGAATGAAAGGAAAGAACGCTGTCTGCCTCTTGGAATTCTATAGGCCAGAAACAGGCCAACGGAGTTAGCCTGTGTCCCCCAAGAAGAGGACCATTCATGGAGTAACTCAGACATCAGCAGAACTGCTGGAAGAGCGAGGGAAGTAAGCCCTCTTCAGGTTCAAAGGGCAGGGCCATGAGCTCCTGGGTCTCAAAGTGTAGGGCTACAGTTCCCTAGGTTTCAAAGAGTTGGATCTTTGCCAACTCAGTTCTGGAGTGTGGGCCTGCTGTTAAGGTGTGAAAGGGGGTGGGGCCACTGTCCAAAGCTGAAAGGAAGGGGCTTTTATGCCCAAGGGGCAGAAGAACAGGGCCTGGTGGGGTCGAGGGAGTAGCGTTACCACTCAGACTACAAGAATGGGGTCGCCTAAAGCTGAGGGCACAGAGTTGCCATCCTAGAGTGCCTAGAAACAGGAGCTGAAGCCCAGGGATGAGGGGCCTCTACCTAGAATCCAGAGGACACAGGATTATTTTCCAGCCCTAAGAGCTAATGGGATTTGTTCTGCTGGGTTTTGGACTTGCTTGGTGCTTGTCATCCCTTCTTTCACTCCAACTTCCCCCATCTGTAATAGAAACGTCTACCTGTGCCTGTTCCATCACTGTACTCTGTATGCAGATAATCTGCGTTCTGGATCTCACAGGGTCACAGATGAAGGGGAATTCTGCCCCAGGATGGAATATGCTTAAAGTCTCATTCCTATTTGATTTAGATAATTCAGATGAGATTGGACTTTGAATTGATTTAAGACTTTTGGGATGAATGTGTTTTGCATATGGCAAGGACATGAATTTTTGAGGACCAAAGGGTATAATGTTATGGATTGAACTGTGTCCACCCAAAATATGTGTTGTAAACCTTAACCTCTCAGGGAGCTCTGGTAGCATAGGGCCTAAGGCACCTGACTGCTAACCAGAAGGCTGGCGGTTCAAACCCACCAGCCACTCCTCGGAAGGAAGGTTGAGCAATCTACTTCCATAGTGATACTGCCTCGGCAACCCAAGGAGGGGTCACTATGAGTTGGGTCTGACTCGATGGCACATAACAACAACAACAACAACAACAAACCTTAACCTCTATGTTGTGTGGTTATAATCCCATTTGGTAATGGGTTGCCTTTGTTAGGTTAATGAGGTAGCATCAGTATAAAGTTCTTCTGAGTCAATCTCCTTGGAAATATAAAAGCCAGCAGGGAGCAATGGGGGAAGAGAGATGCCAAGACACAAGGAGATCTCCAAGGAACCAGGAAGCAGAATTTGAAGCAAGGACCTTTCTCCAGAGCCAAGAGAGAGACAAAGCTTCCCCTAAAACCAGTACCCTGAATACAGACTTCTAGACTCCTAAACCAGGTGAAAACAAATTTCTCTTTGTTAAAGCCACCAGTGTGGTCCTTCTCTGAGAGCAGTACTAGAGAACCACAGCAGCCATTGACTATTCCACAGTTGCTTGACTTCTCAATTTTGTGGCCAGTAAATTTCTCTCTAAAATGGCAGCTGGGTTAAATAGCCAAATTCCAGTTTTCCTAAGTAAAAGCAGTAAAAACAAACAAACAAATAAACCAAAAAATCCAGAGCCCAATCATCTGTTATCATTATAACTTAATAAAGAATATCTTAGCACCAAAAATTGTTAAGTGATGATCTTAAAGTCAGTTATCCGTCAAAAAAGGACAGTTGACAACCATGTCAACACACACACACACACACACACACACACACTGCATTATTTCTAGCTCTTTATATCTCAGCAGGCCAGATCAGCACTGGTCTGAGGACTTGCTTTTAAGAACCATGAGGCCAAAGCAAGCACATAGGCAGTGGGTTGGGAAAGGAATGGTGCAGACAGAAAGCATGCCACTATACATGGCAGACATGAATGGGAAGGGTACATGAGGCAGCCAACACGTCAGGAACAGGAGCACAGCCAACAGGCCAAGCATCCTAATATATCTAACTATGCGTTTAGCAGTGATATCTTTATGATATGATTGAAGTCCTTCTGGATGTACGTTCCTTTCAGTCAGAAGACAGCTGGAATTCTTCTACTCCCTGCCCTTCCCCTGCGTGCAAGAGGTAAGGCGTCCATGTTATGAATTCCTATTTAGGGGAAACACCAGGTTCTATCTGAGTCAGTAAAACATGTGCCTAAGTGCCCAGCCTAGGGCCTGGTCCCCATCGAGTGCTCAACGAATGGTGGCTCAACCGGCCACTGGCTGTGCCAATGAAGCACATTTGTGTCTGAATGTGCAAAGCAGTAGAGCGAACAGAGACTTGACCTGAGCACCCACCCCACCAGCAAGCTCCAGCGTGACACCTCCAGGATCGAGTGTTGTCCTGTTTGGATCTTCAGTGGACTCACCCTCATAGGCTTTGGCAGCATCTACCAAGTTGGACCAATCCAAATCTGCAGCAGCATCAGGCAAGGGCATCAGGCCGGGGTCAGGCATGGGCTGCCTTCGGGTCTCCTGGATGTCAGTGAGGGAGCTGTCCGAGGCTGAAAACTCTCCTGCAGGAAAGGATGGGGGAGAAGACACTTCTGGTGCTCATGGGAGAATGACTCAAGAATGTGCCCATTTCCTGTTAGCACAGTGTTAAAAACCATCTGTGACCTAGACTCAGTTCCTAGGCTAGCAGGCCACTGGTGGCCACGCTAAAGCTGACCTAAAACAGGAATTGGTTTTCTCCCATCATCTCTGTCAACAGTGTGAGTGATGGAAAAGTTAGTTTTATACCAAACTGTCTGTCTGCCCTTGTGGAGTTCAGGGCAATTCCAATGTCTCAGAGTGGGAAGAGGAGGCCTAGCTCAACAGGGAGCAGGGCTAGATACAGCTCAGGGAAACGTGGTCAAGGGGATAATGGATTTTATTTTTATCTGGAACCAGATGGCCCCTTAAGCCCACCGTGCCCTAGGCCTGGGATCTGACCCATCCTCCCTTGTGCCTGGGACTGCCAAGGGACAGATGCACCCCTGCTCCCTGTCTGCCCTGCATCCACGGTGGCCCTGAGGATCAAATCAGACAGTATGAGTGAGAGTGCCACGTTACCCACAGGAGTTAGCCCACGAAGCTATTGTTAGGACTGGTGTTGCCTTTATTCTCCTTCCAGAGGACACAGGCCCATCAGGGGACCAACTCTGTGAATCAGTTTTTGATAAGAGCTGTCCGACAGTTCAAGCCCCTTCCAAGTGACAATTTGCTGCAAATAAGTATTAAACCATCTTAACAACTAACCTTCACTGAGTCTAGGGCACAATTAGCCATTCTATGCCATCTGAGGGCATGCTGTGACTGCTCTAGTATAAGCAGGCGAAGAACAGAGAGGGCGGGCTGATGGGGCCAGGGAAATTGTAGCTCACGAAATGTAAATTCCCTCAACAGGGGGGAAATAAGGGCAGTACACAATTTTGTCGAGAAAAGGAGCACTCAGAATGTGACTGTAACATTAAAACTCACAAAAACACGGAGCTAAAAGAGGAACTCATCATTAAAATCAATAAGCAACTCCAGAAATACCTGTCTATAATGAGTTAAATAAGTTCTGTCAATTATGATAGCCTGGTAAATCACAGTATATTTAGTACTTGTTTTCCCTTTCAAATTACATAAAGAACTGCTTTGAAGTGCAGCTGCTAGTTATTAATGTGCTTAAAATTAGCAAAATTATGAGTACATGGAAAGCAACAAATAGTGCAAGATATTAAATGCTCAGCTCCATTTAAACTTGCTCTCACCAAGGGCAAGTAGTTGGAAAAAGCAATTTGGTGTGCCACTCAAAACCCTTCTGCCCTTTTATCTCTGGGGCCCAAACTTCCACATGGGAGAGCGGAAGTCACCTGCCTTATCCCTCATACACACATCGCTGGTGGTCACGGCAGAGGGAACGAGCGCAGGGCCATACCCCAGCTACCGCCCACCTTTCAGGAAAGCAAGAGGATGTGACAGCAAGGCACGCAGAGGACTGCCCTCAGCCCCTCCCTTTTCCGCAGCCTGCAATGGTTTTGTAAGTGGGAGATGGGTTTCCTGACATCTCTCTCAATGTAAGCTCCTGAAATGCAGGGTCTCCTTTGGCTAGGGCCTAGTACATGACACATGCAAGCCTCCACAAGTGCTCTATTTTTATTGCTGCAAAGGTAAAATGAAAAGTGTAGGAAATTGACAAAAGAATTTAAATCAGGCAAGAAGTGGCAGAGTGATGGAAATAAGAAATGTGGCCTTGAAGTGTGGGGGGAAAGAAAGGAAAGAAAAAGTAAGGGGCATATAAGTCACTAGTGGAAGGTTCTTTCTCAAGTTTAGGTGGCAAAATGTCGCCATTTCATATGGTAAGTTTGATCAACTAGGCGTGACCTCCTAGGGCAAAGAGAAACCAGGCTCAAGCTGTAGTCAGATGTGGAGAGAGAGTGGGGGAAGATGGAGTGACCCTTGAGTGATGTCTATCGAGGTGAGGAGGGGAGAATGGGACTCTGTAACTGAGCAATGAGTAGGATGGAAATGTTGGGAGGAATATTCAAGAGGGTGGGCTGAGACTCAAGAACAACACAGGGAGAAAGCAAACTGGGCAAGTAGGAGAAAAGATTTGGAGGAAATACTGCTCCAGAGGAAGGGAAAGAAAAGAAATGATCAAGTTGGCTGGGCCTGTGGGTAAACACGGACAAAGATACGATATGATAACTGTAGAATTCACAGAAGAAAAGGGGCCTATGGGAGATGCATTTACAGCAGTATGTGTAATCAACAATCAGGAGCGCAAGCTTCCATAATAGCTGTCTGCTATTCTGGGCCATGGCTGTGAGGGTAGGTGTCGACCCTGGAATTGGGTTGGACAGAGAGAGGGGAAAGGATAAGAACAATCTTAAATTCGAAGTCCCAGATTATGGTCCATAGTAATATTGGGATCTTGTTGAGTTACAGAGCAAGCAAGCCAGGCATGTGTGAACCAAGGGTGAGAGTATTGTCAATAAACCCTTCTCTGAAACAGGGATACTTTTTGGTAAGTAGATAAATGAATGAGTACGTCAATAAATGAGCGGTCAGCTCCACACCTGGGAAAGTTGGGGAGTGATGGCAAGTCTGGGTTATTACAGTGTCTGTGGGCAATCAGTGGATACAACTCTAAGAAATAACTCTAACCTAGCATTAATCAGCATAGTGCCTAAGGCACTTGACTGCTAACCAGAAGGCTGGCGGTTCAAACCCACCAGCCACTCCTCGGAAGGAAGATGGGGCAATCTACTTCCGTAGTGATGCTGCCTTAGAAACCCAAGGAAGGGTCGCTATGAGTTGGGTCCGACTCCACGGCAAACAACAACAGCATTAATCAAACTCATCCAATCATTAAGCAGCTGGAATGTTTGGTAAAAATACCAATTCTCAGACTACTGCTTTGGAGATCTGAATTCAGCAGACCTTGGGTAGGGTCTAGGAATCTGTATTTTTAACAGGAGTCCCAGATGACTTGTGTGGCCTATTAGGCTGAGTGTCTGCACTATGTGGTCTGGCATTACAGGAGGAGAGACACTGACAGAAGGGCTTGGTGAGCAGAGACAATGTGAGCACAGAAGCAGAATGCCCTTCAGTTATTACTCTCTATGGAGGCTCAGTGGCACTGTTTCTGGGGTCAGTGGTCATCAACAAGCTGTTCTGCTGCAGCTGGAAATAAACTTACCGTGCAATGACTTCATTCCCAAGGTGTAAGACGGTCTCCGCAGAGGAAGAGACTTGGGGAGAGAAGGGTACGTGCTACTGAAGAGGACATCGTTGGGCAGGGCTTGGTCCAGCAGTGAAGCCCTCGAGGGGAAAAAGTGCTCCCTCTGGCCGCTGTAAATACTCTCATCGGACAGTGTCCTGTGCAAGGCCCGCCTTGAGGTGGGGGTGGGAGGGAAAGGAGACTGAGGGGAGGAGAGCGCATGGAACTGAAAAACAGAAAACAAAACAAGGAAAGTCACTTTTCTGGTTCAGAAACTCAAGTCCAAGATTGGGAGGGGGGTGGGCCAAAAAAAAAAAAAAGCTCTGCTCTAGCAACACCCCATTAAGTTCTAGAGCCCCAAGAAGAAACAGCCAGGATTTACTACCTGTGTCTATATCCTCAAGGAGCAAAAACAGTAACTCTTAGTCATCATTTCCCCAGAGCCCAGGAGGCTGCTTAGAGCCCCCTCACCAAAAATAACCAAACTCACTGCCGTTGAGTCAGATCCACCTCATAGCAACCCCTCCTTTGGTATCCGAGGCAGTATCACTATGGAAGTAATTGTCCAATCTTCCTTCTGAGAAGTGGCTGGTGGGTGTGAACCACCAGCCTTCTGGTTAGCCGTCAGATGCCTTAGGTACTATGCCATCAGTCCCCTACATAACGCAGAAATGTGATTCAAGTGGACTGATCGATATGGTACTGTGGTTAAGAACATGATCTTGTGGTTGCTGTTAGGTGCTGTCAAGTTGGTTGTGACTCATAGTGACCCTATGTATGACAGAATGATATGCTGCCTGGTCCAGTGCCATCCTCACAATCATTATGTAGCCACTGTGTCAATCTACCTCATAGAGGGTCTTCTCTCTTCCACTGAACCTCTGCTTTACACCAAGCCTGATGTTCTTCTCCAGGACTGGTCCCTCCTGATAACATGTCTAAGGTAAGTGAGACGAAGTCTCCCCATCCTAGCTTCTAAGGAGCATTCTGGCTGTACTTTTTCCAAGACAGATTTGTTCATGCTTCTGGCAGTCCATGGTATATTCAGCATTTTTCACCAATGCTATAAGACATTCAAAGGAACTGAGTTTTCTTCTACCTCTCTTATTCACTGTCCAACTTTGCATGCATTATTAAGTAACTGAAAATACCATGGCTTGGGTCATGCACACCTCAGTCTTAAAGTGACCTTCGCTTTTGAACACTTTAAAGAGGTCTTTTGCACCACATTTACCCAGTGCAGTACGTTGTTTGATTTCTTGACAGCTGTTTCCATGGGCACTGACTGTGAATCCAAGCAAAATGAAATCCTTGACTCCTTAAGTCTTTTCTGTGTTTATCGTGATGTTGCTTACTGGGGTCCAGTTGTGAAGACTTTTGTTTTCTTTGTTACATGTAATCCATACTGAAGGCTAGAGTCTTCGATCTTCATTAGTAAGTGTCTCAGCAAAATTATGGCATCTGCATATCATAGGTTGTTAATGAGTCTTCCATCAATCCTGTTGCCACATTCTTCTTCATATAGTCCAGTTTCTCACACTATTTACTCAGCATACAGACTGAATAAGTATGGTGAAAGGATACAACCTTGACACACACTTTTCCTGATTTTAAACCACACACTATCCCCTTGTTCTATTCAAATGACTGCATCTTGGTCTACGTGCAGGTTCCTCATAAATACAATGAAGTGTTCTGGAATTTGCATTCTTCACAATGTTATCCATGATTTGTTATGATCCACACAGTTGAATGCCTTTGCATAGTCAATAAAAGACAGGTATTCTGTCTGGTATTCTGTGCTTTTAGCCAAGAGCCAACTGACATGAGCAATGATATCCCTCTTTCCATGTCCTCTTCTGTATCTAGCTTGAATTTCTGGCAGTTCCCTGCCGATGTACTGCTACAACTGTTTTTGAATTATCTTTACCAAAATTTGACTTGCACGCGATACTAATAATATTGTTTGATAATTTCTGCATTCTATTGGATCATCTTTCTGTGGAATGGATGAAATATGGCTCTCTTCCAGTCAGCTGGCCAGACAGCTATCTTCCAAGTTGGTAAACATCTTCAGTTTCTTCATCTTTGGCATTAGTGGTTGGTGACTTAATTTGAATAATAGTTGTGTTATCTGGTCTTCCTTGTAGGTGCATGGATATTATCCTATCACCATACTTCAGGATAGATCTGGAAAGATTCTTTTGGTGATGAATGTGACACCATTGTTCAAATCTGTCCTTTTTGGCATAACAGACCCTATTTTTGTCCAATTCAAATGGCCTCTACCCATCCATTTCAGCTCACTAATGCCTAGGATAGTGATCTGTATGCTTTCCATTTCACTTTTGACAATTTCTAATTTTCCTGGATCCATACTTCATAGATGCCACGCTTTGATCATGAAGGAACGTTTGCAGCAATTTCTTCTCATTTTGCATTGTGTCACATCAGCAAATAAAGATCCCGAAAGTTTGACTTCATTCCCATCATTCAAGTCAACTCTATTTTGAGGAGGCACCTCTTCTCTAGGCGTATTTGGAGCTGTCTTCCAGCTTGAGGGGTCCATCTTGTGGCATTACATCAGACAGTGTCTCACTGTTATGCACAAGGCGGTTGGTGGCACATTCTTTTTTCAGAAGTAGATCACCAGGTCCTTCTTCCTAGTTTGTCTTAGTCTGGGAGCTCCGCTGAAGCCTGTCCACCAGGAGTGACCCTGCTGGGATTCAAAAAACTGGTGGCAATAGCTTTCAGCATCACAGCAACCTGTAGGCCACCACAGTATAGCAAGCCAAGAGACAAGTGGTGGGAATTATAGGTAGCTCTATGTAAATTATTAATTATGAAGCTACATTTTCCCCCCTCAGTTGACTTCAAATGGACTCTGACTCATGGTGACTTCACGCGTACCACAGTAGAATCATGCTCTATAGGGTTGTCAATGGCTGCTGTTTTTTGGAGTAGACTGCCAGGCTTTTTTTCCAAGGCATGCCTGGGTGGGCTTGAGCTGCCAATCTTTTGGTTAGCAGCTGAGTGCATTACCTGTTTGCACCACTCAGGGACTCCCAGTGGAACCTGCAGTTGAACCTAGATAGATACTACATGAGTTTTGCAGTTCGGGTTTCCATACATGAAATAAAAATAGGAAAGTCCGCATCACAGAGGACTATTTGGTTCCAGATGGGTGTCTTTCTAGTCGATGTCTTTTACTTTGGTAACCAGACTTGATTTGATTTGAGATTTTTTTTCTGTAAATAGCCAGCTTCTGAGAATCCCACTCTTTGCCAAGCAGATACTTTAACAATATTTGAATTCCAGCAAGCCACATGCCAACAGTGCTCTGCATGTTAGCAATAAAGCAATCCTTACTCAGTGCCTCTTAGACTCCTCTTCACCTTGACACAAAGAAAAATGTGAAGAGCAGGTGAAAATGGGAGTAGGAGGTCTGAGTCACTGCTGACAGAAAGCCACCATGGGTATTTTCCATGACACTTTGAAGGAGCGGAGAAATAATGCTATGGCAACGGGTCCATTAGGAGGCTGATTTCACAGAGCCAGGAGAGAGTTGAGGCTCAGGCTCATTCAAGTGCTCTGGGCCTTAATAGGCTTGTGCTCAACAAGCCAAAGGTTCACCAAGCTAAGGGTACCCACAATGTAGTGTGTGCAGTTGCTACATAAACATACGGTTAATCACAGGCATTGTAAGTAAGCCTCAGCTGTAGCCTGTTGTGTACAAATTATGTTCACTTTTAAAAATTCACGATGAGTTAAATCCATGGTACACAGGCGCTGCTCTGCAGCTAAGCTGTTCTGATCAATGCTTGGCAAAGCTTGAAGTGGGAAGGACTTGGTATGGGAAGTGACGACTGCCCTCCTCACTTCACCAGAAGAGTGGGCAGCAGAGGTGACATGGCTCGCTAATTGTAGATTTTTTTTTTTTTTAAATAAAACCAGATCACCTCTCCTGTACTGCAAGGTTCTGGGATATCACATGAGGCCAGATGTCTGTATTCAAAAACTGCTGTCAATCTTTTTCAACACCTCTGGTTTGGTTTTAGAAAAGGGATTTCCTTTCCCAGTGAGTATTCCCACCCTATTTGTCAGGAAGGAGCTCTGGTAGCATAGTGCCTAAGGCACTTGACTGCTAACCAGAAGGCTGGCGGTTAAAACCCACTAGCCACTTCTTGGAGTGAGGGTTGGGCAATCTACTTTCGTAGTGATATTGCCTTGGATACCCAAGGAGGGGTCACTATGAATTGGGTCTGACTCGATGGCATATAACAACAACAACAACAACAATTTTTCAGGAGAGAAATTTTCCACCAACTCTAGTTTCAGCGTCTTTGGAAAATATTCCTATACATCGAGACAGTAAGTTGCCTTGAGCAGTGGGCTTTATTGACAGGTATACATCCTGCTCCAAAGGAAGGCAGGGAAGGAGGTGGAAGTAAGCAACCTGCCTAGTGCCTTTCGCTCACTGAAAAGCAGCAGAGTGCAGTCTTATCCAAACAAATGGGGACAGTTCCTCACTCCGGCCCTCCTCAACTCCAGTACGAAATAAGGCACGCAAACCCAGCTGGTGCCCAGGCGGGCCCCTGCCTCTCCTGCAGATTACTGGGCACTCGCTTTACCCAGTGCTGTCAGCAGGGTGGATTACCCAATAGGCAAGTTAAGCACGGGCTTACCTGTACTTACTGATCTGCAGTGAACAATTTCACTTTTTTTTTTTTTTCCCACCACATCAAAGATTCTGCTTCTAGATATGGCTGGCATCTGTCTCTTTCCCAGCCCCACAGCACCTTCCTACAGAATCATAGCCTCCTTTTCAAACTGATAATCCCTGATAAGCATGAGTTTATTTATGCTACTTACTAATCTGCAGTGAACAACATCATATGGGCTTCAGCACATCAAAAATTTTTGATTTGATGGAAAACATCCAAAAGAAACTATACACTGCAGATTAGTAAATACCTTGCTAGTTGGGTAATCCACCCCCAGCTGTTAGCTACCATGACAGAATCACAGTGGGGTCTCTGTCACACACAAAGGGATTTCAGAGAGCAGCCAGACAACGGGTTCTCAAACTGTGTTCCAGGGAGCCCTGAGGGCTCCTCACAGCGCCACTGCTTAGAGAGAAGAGATAATTAGGTGGCACCCAGATGTCCATGCCACACCCTGCCGCAGTCAGAGAATCTCTTCTTTCTAAGTTCTACATAGTGGGCTTCCATGTATGGTTTTATTTGAAAGAAATGGTCCAGAGCTTTATAAATGTCTGGGAACCACTGGTCTACTCTGTTCATCTACTTCATAGCTGACTTTTCAAAAAGACCTGGAGAGGTGGCATCTTGCTCCCAGTCAACCTCCTGTTGTCAGTGAAGTGTTAACCACCCTCCCAATAAGCAGCAGCTCTTTCTAAACACTGGTGCCATATGAAGCCTCTTCCTTTGGTCTACACCTGAGGTGGTGGATGGTTTGCACTATAATCTGTTCACAGACCAGACTACATGGCGCCTTGGGGAAAAGTAAAGATATCCCATCTCTGCCTGCCAATGACATTTCTTAGAATGCTACAGCTCTGCCCTTTTCCTTGAGTTTAGGAGTGCCACAGCAGCTGCATGGGGCCTGCAGCCACCCACCTCTCAGCCACAGCCAGAGCGCTGCCACGTCCTGCAGCAGACATCCCCGTCTGCTGGCAAGTGCGCTGTGTTTCAGAGCCTGGCAGGGACTGTGCCATTTGATATTAATGATTGCTCATAGGTAGGACTTGCCATCCAAGAAAGCCAACGTGGCGTGTGAGTGGGTTCCAGGGATTGCAGCCACTCCTAAAACCCTGAAGCCTGAGGCAGTGGCTTGGAGCCCGGAGCCAGGCTTGACCTGGAAGACTTCCCGAGTGCACACAGGCCTTCCCGCACAGCAGAGCCACGGTCATTCAGATGATGAATCTCGGAAGACACAGGGAGCTACTTAATGGAACTCTTCTGAAACCCAATCACTCAAAACGGCTGGAACTGGAGCGAAAACAGAGTATGCTCCGCCCCCGCCAGCTCTCTACGGCAGAAATACTTTTCCTGCAGAGGCTTTTACAGTAAGACACTCACAACAGAAAAAAAGTGCCCCTGTATCAAACAGGCATGTGAAAGTAATTCTATTTGAAAATACAAGCCCAAGACCTGGAATAAGGGCAAAGCAGACATTTGCCTTCAATTATTCCACTGCATGCATAAATCAAAAGAATGGGTGTCCTGAGCTTGTCCCCCTTTCCAAAATGGCTAAATTAGAGGAAAGATTCTTTCAGGGCAAGTTTTAGTTTCCTCTAACCTCCAAGGAAAAATCTGAAATCATTCTTATGTTGAATATGGTACAGGCCGTCTCTGAGTTATGAATGTCCAACTTACATACAATCTGTAGTTACAAACCAACTCCCATAAAGCCTACTATATTAAAAATTTGAGGTATAGGCAATGGGTCATAGTAACAAATGGGCACTACTTTGCAACATACATCAAAACATTAATTAGCATTACTACTGTACTCTTAGGTTAAAGATGTGTTAGTGCATCTGGAAGTGTTTCTTTAATGTTTTTATGCATAGAAAGGTACATGATACACTAAGTCAAATATTTGACTAAATGGCGTTAGATATGGACCATGTCTAACAATTCTGACTTATGTACAATTCAATTTAAAGAGAAACTTAGGAATGGAACTCGTTAGTAATGCTGATACTTAAAAATTTTAATATACCTCTTTGGGTTTTGATGGACACAGAAAGAAGTTTTAAGCACTATGTTTGACAAAGTGGCTTAGGAAACCACTTGTGCCCAGGGTGATGAATCTCAACAGTTAAGTGCTGGCTTACAGACAGGGTTTTGAACCATTTCAAACTGGCTCAGTCATGGCCAACAAAACAAAACCGGAATAGACTTGAATTTTTAAAATTTGGGTGAAGTGGCATGAGAACTGGAATGGGAAGAATTATAGGTTGAAGTCTTGGAATAGGAGACTCAGAAGAAGCGTAGTGAGTCTTTTCAGGAGCCTGGTGTGGGAGAGTGGATTACTGTCAGGACTAGGGAGAGTGACAAGGGGTGTTGGTGGCACAGTGGTTAAAGCATCTGGCTGCTAAGCAAAAAGTAAGCAGTTTGAACCCACCAGTCACTCTATAGGAGAAAGATAAGGCAGTCTGCTTCTGTAAAGATTTATAGTCTTGGAAACCCTATGGGAAAGTTCTACTCTGTCTTTAGGGTTGTTAGGAGTTGTAATTGACTTGATGGCAGTGGATGGGTAGAGAGTAACATGTATTCCAAGTGGTGTGGTGGGCTCCATCTTTGAATTGGGCAGCACTGTTTCTGACTGTGCTTGTTAAGAGATTTGATTGCTGTGCAATGTGCACACTGCCCTTGTTTCCTAACAGGGGGATTAAATTTACAGCAGGATGTTGACCTGTAATTTTCCTGTGACTATGATGCCCAGAAGGAGCTCTGGTGGCATAGTGCCTAAGGCATCTGACTGCTCCCCAGAAGGTTGCCAGTTCAAACCCACCAGCCACTCCGCAGAAGGAAGAATGGGCAATCTATTTCCATAAAAATTTACACCTCAGAACCCAAAAGGGGTCGCTATGAGTTGGAATCGACACAATGGCAGTGAGTTTGGTTTGGGTTTGGTATGATGACTAGCCCCATCATGACTGATTTCTCTCTCATTGCTATTTGCCCCAAGTGCTGTTCTGTACCTTAAAATTCTTCTGTGATTCAGGAGTTGGGCTTTCAAGGTCAATCAGTTTCTTTAGATCCTCCTCAACGGTAGACTTGGAAGTTGGCTTAGGGGATGCCCGGAGGTCCCTAGTTGAAGCCTGTAACCTGGTGTGGGCTATTTCATTGCCATCACTCTGATGACGCCTTGAAAGAAAGGGAAGAGAGAGTAGAAACCAAGTCAACAAGGCTGACTTAAGGGCACAGTGGACTTTTAAGGATGAGAGTCAACAGAGAAACAAAGGAGAGAACAAGAGAATCATTTAATTAGATAAATTAAATGTCTGTTAAAGAAACAAAACCATTTTGAAACACAAAATTAAAAATCTAATTAATAAATCACCTCTTGCAGGAAACTATTAATTCCATCAGCTAAAATCAGCAATAAACTTCTTTAAAGACCACAGGTTACGAATCCTACATGCAAGCTTTGCACAAACAAAAACAAAATAATGGAATACATCATTTATTTTATTACTGTACTACTTTGCCAAAAAGGCCTTTCTATTCAGGGGTACTCACTCACTTTCTAATATTCCCTCTGGTGCCTAATAAGACCCGTTCAGAGAATTACTTGAGAAGGCTGTGGTTAATATCATCAAGGGTCTCACAGCACAAGTGTCGTCACAGCTAGACCAGGGGTAATTATTCTCAACTGTGTTCTTCAGATCTACCCCTTCCTTAGGAGATCTAAGATTCCCAAATCCAAATACATCTTATTTAAGGAACATAGTGGAGAAACAATTAAGATAAGTTTCAGTTAAAAAATACCTCCACCAAAGTGGCCCTTTCCCATCACACAGCCTGGCCTCTCTGCTGAAGGAAAGTGATCCAACCTTTTCTGTCTGTCCTTTTAAATTAAACCACCCAGCAAAAGAAGGGAAGGAGCCCTTACTTTCTTGTGTCCATGAAGCCCACAGAGTTTATGGTTCCCTCTGGTTTTTTCCATCCAATCAGGTACTTGCTCGTTGCTCCCTGACGAGGGTAGAACGTCCTCGGACCAGATGAGGAAGAGGAGGAGGAGGAGAATGAAGGCGCAAGCTGCGAGGAGGTGGCAGGATGAAGCTCTTCTTTAGGTGAACTCCTGGCGCTGGTGAAAACGACGGGGCTGGCAGAGTGTCGGGAGCTCATGGTACTAAGGAGAAGCAGGACAAGGACCAAATGACCCGAGTGTGCATGTGAGCTTCCCGGGCTCGCTATGTCAGTCATGAAAGTGTCAGCCAGGACAGGGGTGATCACACGATGAAAGAACAATGGATATTTCATAGACTATTAATGGAGGTAGATACTAACCTACTTGTTTCCTGACTGTAATTTAAATGTCTGCTGTCAAAGTGACACACTGTCACCGGGGCTTAGTCTGCACTTCAAATTAAAAAGTGAAAATAGTTATGACTGTCCAAAGCACTTTCAAACATGTTTGGCACCACTGAAGTTTGTTAGAATCACATCTATAAGAGCCAAGTGACGGGGAAAGACAGCTGCAAAGGTCTAGCAGTCTCAATGGTTATCTGTCTTGCCTTGCTCAGAACCAGGTCTCATAGAGACCCTTCCGAGGGCTGGGGAGGGGAGACTAAATCACGGATACAGCTTCTATACACTCACATCTAAGGCTAAAGGGGATCCCCGTGATATCTGGCACTAAACTCTAGTCATCGATGGATTTTAAACATTGGTTAAAGATTGAAAAGGAATAAAGGGAAGACTACTCCTTACACTTCTGAAATGTAAAAAAGTAGACTTTTCAAATCCAGGGCTGCGAGTTTACATTCACTGCAAATCTGAAGAGCCTTTAACTGTAGGATTTCCACACTGCCTTGCCAAGGATCTCACCGGACCTAAATTCCCAGTACGTGAGCCCCGCAGGGGTCTCCAGTTTAGGATGAAATGAAAGACTGGTGACTTTCACTGCAGTGAGCTTCCAGTTACTGAAGGCTGACTCAACAGTGTGTGGTCCCAAAGCATTTCTTAATAGCACTTGCATCTGTCAAAACTAGTGGTGCTGATCTGAAGAAAAGTATTGACTTCAGCTAATAATAACAATATATCAATACTGATTCATTAGATGTGACAAATATACTACATAATATAAAATGATAACAAGAGGGGAAACTGAGTAAGAGGTATATAGGAACTCTACCATCTTATAACATTTCTGTAAACCTCTAACCTAAAATAAAGTTTATTATGAAAAACAAAACATAAACAAACAAAAAATATTAATGGTCTGGTCTTGAGGTAATACTATGGGGTAAAATGGCTCTTGAGTCCCATCTCAAACCAACATAGAAATCAATTCAGCTGGATTGCAGATCTAAATGCAGACTCAGAGGCTCTGAGCTATCACATGGAAGGAAGAACACCTTTCATGATAGAGACTGTCAATGGAAACAAAGGAAAGAATTGAACCAAAGACACAGAGTAGGACAATTTTTTTAAAATTTCTATCCAACAGTGGGTTCCTATCCAGAATATATGATTCCTAAATACAAGGAGCCCTGTATTAAGTGCTCAGCTGCTAGCTAGAAAGTCAGTGGTTCAAACAGAGAAGCTGCTCCACTGGAGAAAGATGGGACAGTCTGCTTCTGTAAAGATTTATAGCCTCAGAAACCCTATGGGGCAGTTCTACTCTGTCCACAGTGTTGTTTTGAATTGACTTGATGGCACTGGATTTGAAATAGCATAAGACAGATAACTCAACAAAAAAATGGGCAAAAAACATAAAAAGGAGGTTCATAATGAAGGGTATTTAAAAGACCAATAAACATAGATGCTCAACCCCAACATGGCAACACAAATTAAACTCACAACGAGACCACTACATATTAATCAGAACGGCTAAAATTAAAGACTGACAATATAAAGTGTGGGAAAGGATGAAGTGATTAGAACTCTATATAACTCTATATAACACTGCAGGTGAGAATGTAATTTGTTACAATTATAGTCCCCATGCAAAGAATCCCTGGTCACTGTAGGCATTCAATAAATATTTGATGAAAAAACTGCTAAATAAATGATAAATTAACCATCCATTATTAATCTAAGGAAGAGTTACATATGAAGATACTATATTTTGCTCATATTGTACTTAAAGCTGGATGTGGCTTGATTTTATTGCATAATTAAATCTGCAAAATGTGTTTTTGTTTACATGTACAGACTTCCATGGATAATTGCTTAAATAAGACCACAGGCCCTGACTATTGGTTTTCTCTGTGAACATGAAGGCTGACACTAGCCTGCAGGTGTGAAATGCCAGCATACTTCTGTTCACTAACAGTTATAACCAAGACAGCATTACTTAGCTGTTGATTAGATTTTGAAACAGATAACAACAAAAATCAACCAATGATTTATAGTACTGTATTTGTTCTTTGGGAGCTCTGGTAGCGTAGTGCCTAAGGCACTGGACTGCTAACCAGAAGGCTGGCAGTTCAAACCCACCAGCCACTCCTCGGAAGGAAGATGGGGGCAATCTACTTCCATAGTGACACTGCCTCAGAAACCCAAGGAGGAGTTGCTACAGTCTGACTCTACAGTACACAACAACAACAACAACAATTTGTTCTTTAATGCATAAAACACACACCTGAAGTGAGGAAGTACTTCACACATTTGGCCTGTAACTCAGCAGGCATATGAGGATCATGTGGCAGCTCCTTAGAAACACACATTCTAGGACCTAATCCCAGATACCATCATTGACGAGATCTGGAGAGGTGTCTGTGTAATTGGGCAAAATCTCCCCAAGCGTGCATCAGTTGAGAGCTACGGCTTGAATCCAGCTGAAATATTCATATCCTTCTGCCTTTATCAAAGAAGAAGCCCTAGCTGCGCAGTGGTTAAAGCACTTGGTTGCCAACCAGAAGGCTGGTGGTTTCTCTGAGGGAGAAACCTATGGCAATCTGCTTCTGTGAAGACTTACAGCCTTGGAGACCTTATTGGGCAGTTCTACTCTGTCCACAGGGTTGTTATGTGTTGAGATTGACTTGATGGCAATGGGTTTGGGTTTGGTCTCCTTCCTTTGTGGTCCCGCCCCTGAGCCAAGCTGTGGTGGTAATCCTTGAAGCTGACAAACCCTGACAGTCTCAGACCACCTCGAGGCTGTACCAGCACACTGCACACAAGAATTTCTGAAGTGAGTGGAATTACAACACAACCAAAACAAAGTCGGTAGCTTCATAACTTTTTAAAGTGGGACGGTGTGGCTCGTCTGTTTCACTAATGTGGAGATTTCATTTTTATGCAACATGCTGCAATTTGGTTTTACATGTGGTGAGTTAAATCTCTTCATAGAAACTGTGTAAGAAGGTAATGAGCCAATAACCACGGAACAAAAAGGGGAAAACCACAGATATCTTAGGAAGTGACAACTATCTAACTGTAAGACACCTTTCCTTTCCTGGGACTGGGGCAACCCTGGATTCTTTTTGGTCATCCAGGCCACAGATTTTGAAAAGGAAGAGAGAATACACACATACATAGCTCACAGAAAAAGTGACAAAGAGGCAATGAGGCAACAAAATATGGAACTGCCTTAATCTACCGAAGCATTTCTCAGTACTTGGCTGACCAGATGCTCAAAAGAAACCATGAACCAACTGTTCTGTACCCTAATGATCTGACACTCTGGCTGTGGTAAAACGTTTTAGGGAGAGGTGCTGGATGACCAATCTGCAAAAGTGGTGCTTGTCTCAGTGGGTACTGCTTTCAGAAAGAGAAACTCAACTGGCTCCCTGCACCCTTTGCTTGCCTTGCAGAGTGATGACCCACAAGTGGTCAGGGGGCCTGAATGTCAGCAGTCAGAGCCCCAAGTACTAAACCTATGAGGCCTGGGAAACGCTTCTGAATTTCTGCACTCTCACTAAGACCACTATCTCCTGTGGGAAAGACACCTGCCTGTCCCTCTCAGCTGCGGAAAGCTGCTGAAGGAAACGCTTGGAAGTCATCTTCTATTCAGGCATGGTACTGAGGGATGGATTAAAAGACTGGTTGAGCCTGCTAAGGATGATGCTTTCAGGAGGAGGAGAGCAGCAATTAGTCACCTGCCAAATGGCTGTGGCAAAATCTGGGCCAAGGCTGACTGCTGGCCTCATACCAAGGGGAGGGGGCTGACTGGGTATCCTGTGATTGCCGAGGGGTGACACATAATGTGGAGGATAACAATTAAGGAGGACTCCTCCCACACTGTTCAGCACTAGCCAAATTTGTACCATATCAAACACTAGGCTCCACAATTTGGGAATCTTCAGATGGTAGGTCTAACAGATGAGGGGAAAAGCAAACAAATGAAGTAGAAACGGTAACAGAGACAAAGGAAGTATTCAAGTGATTATAGTAAAAAACAAAAAACAACAACGAAAAACCCCTGTCTACCTAAGGAGAGATACAAGTACAAGGGCAGAGTGAAGACATAAAGCACAGGAGGAGGGAGTAGCTAGGTACAACCAGCCGAAGAAGCCTCGGGGGTCACCACGGACCACAAGCGTCTACATCTGCAAGGCTGAGCTGTTTATTAAGGAAGAAGCAAGATAACAGGTAGAGCTAGGACCATCATCATTTCATTCAGCACAGCTTAATAAGTTTGTCATGTAAAAAGGATTAAACAAACAACCCAGGAACTCTGAGAATAAAAATTATGACCATAGAATGAAAACACATAAAGGACAGTTATAAGAGTTGTAGGAGATAAGTATTTGTCAAAGAAAAGTAACTAGATGCTGTGTTAAGGAAGGTGATGGAGAGCTTACAAGAGGAAATGACAGAATCTTTCGTCTAGAAGGATGTTTACAACTTGCAATACATTTGATAGCCTTTTTTAATTTCCAACAAACATAAAAAACAACCATTTAGTGGGTAGATCATGTTATCATCGGATTGGAGATAAAGGACAAACTCAGGGAAATGGCATGACTGGCCAAGGGCCACAATAGTCAATGGTAGAATGGAGACTTGAAGCTAGATCCCAGGCTCCAAATCTAGGGTCATTTTCTGTTTCTCTCTCAACTTGCCTGGAGAAAGAGGGCTAGGACAAAATACCTTTTTTCTTTTTAAACGGTTTTCAAATGAACTCTTTTAGATATCTACAAGTTTGAAAATCTTAGATTTCAAAGTATCTTGGAGTTCAGAAAG